AGAAGGGTCAGGATTGGAACCACTACTTAGTATCTGAGATTAAATAGGAGTGGAAGTGTTGATGGCAAGGGGCTCTGTGGAGGTGGGGTGGGGAACCTACCAACCACATGCTACTCTGTTTCCTGCATCTCTATCTCTGCTGGCTTCACCAGGCTGACATCTTTAGGAGCCATGTCCACAATCATCTTCTTCCAGGATCTTCTTTTTGAGCACCAACACTCCACAGTGACCACACCTGCCTGACTCTTTTGCCATCTCCACCCACTTTCCTCTCCCCCACTGCCTCTATGACTCAGAATCCTTCCATTATAATCAGTTTTATTGGTCAAGGTATTGACAGACCCTGTTAACTGCTATTAATTGGTGAGGGCAAAAGGTTGAAGCACTGTGATACCATAGAAAGGTAGTGGAGTTTGGTGCCAGGCAAATTGGGGTTAGAAACCAGGCTTCATTAACTTCCAACTGAGTGACTTTGGGTAAATCACTGAGTTAACACATCTGTAAAATGGGAGTAAAATATCCTTGAAGAACTATTAATAAAGCTATCTATTATACCTATACTTTACAGAGCTGTGATAGTGGCCAATGGGATTATGGTCATAAAGTATCACATAGTAGGCACTCAGTGGTATGACAGGCACTAAATGGGCATCCTTTATATGCATTACCTAATCATCACAGAAGAACCCTGAAGTTAGGGGAAAGGAGCCAATATTTTGGGGGGATCACAGAAATTCAGTGGCTTGTTCAAGGTCACACAGCTAGTGAATGCCAGAGCAGGTATACAAAACCATGTCACTCTGGCTGCAGACTCTTCCCTTATATAACTTACTGTCCTTACCTGTATGTGTCCAGCCCAGAACGAAGGGATAATTGACAGCCAATATCAATGATTCTGGCCAAAGATTCATTCAGGTTGCTAGGGAAAAAGTGAGTTCTGAAATACTGGATAATCAGATTGAACTGTGGAACAGATATGCCCAGGGATGATTCTGCTTTCAGAGATCTACAGACATTCATTTCAATGGACATCAGAGTGTGTTGTGAAGCCCTAAAATTAACCAACCACGAAATTTGTTAATATTATTCTATGGATTACAAACAAAGGTTCTCAAACTTCAGGGGGCATCAGAAATACATGTTAGGCCCCACGCTCAGGACTTCCGGAGTCAGAAGGTCTGAGGTGGAGCATAAGAAATTGTAGTTGTAACAAGTACCCAGGTGATCCTGATGCTGCTGGTCCAGAAACAACACATTGAGAACCACCAGCTTAAAATGTACTATAACATTCCCAACTCTCATCTGTGTCCCATCCTCCCCAAATTCCAGGAAGCTATCAGCACACACAAGACTATCAGAAAGCCAGCCCCAATCCTGAAAACGGAGCTTTGGCTTGATGCTCCTGATGATTCCATTCCTCCCCAGTGCCCTCCCAAGTAACCACAGCATCCAGGTAATCAGGCCTCTGAGGGAAGAGAGGAAGTTGGTGGGTGCGGATTGCTTCTGTGCTCTGCCCCATCGCTGCCCTTGTACCCAGCAGGTAGTCATTTGCCTCAAGGAGCATTTTTAAGCCTGGCTGTTTTTCAGAATCCTGAGCACTTTAATGGGATTGTGCACAGGAAGGAGGGGACAGTGCCATGGAAAACAGAAATGCAGAAGAGAAATTTCTATCAATAGGGACGGGGCCTTGGGGAAATGGCTTCTGGGTGCACGAGGGGAGGCTGGACCCCAGGCATTAGGTCTCCGAGTCTAGGTAAAAATACCTCATCTCTTGTGCCCCATGGGCCCAAGAGCAGCAGAGATACCCACCTTTGAGGGACTATGTGGACTTGGAGACCCTAGGAGTGAGGATATTTTTTTCATTGATTTTTAGAGGGCATGGAAAGAGGGGGAGGGGGTGAGAGAGAACAGGGTGGGCGGGGAGAGGAACAGCAATGTAAGAGAGACACATCAATTGGTTGCCTCCCACACACACCTGGACTGGGCTCAAACCTGTAACCCAGGTATGTTCCTGTGACCAGGAATCAAACCCGCAGTTCTCTGGTGCACAGGCTCTAACCACTGAGCCATGCCAGCCAGGGCTCCCCCTCCCATTCTTGAGTAATTCTCAGGAAGAGGAGGGCTCTTCAGTAGTGAATGAGACTGACCTTTCACCTCAGTGGGATGGAGGGAAGATGCAGATTTAAGCTGCAGCCTTTGAGCAAACCAGACCCGAGATGCACACTACCCAGAAGACACAGCAGGAAAGTGCACACGCTTTATTTCTAGTTAGAATCAGAGAAAACTCAACAAAGGGTGAACATGAACTGGACAAATCTCAAGGGGGAAACTCTAGGACACCTTTTGTTCAAACAGGAGGCTGATCTAACTCCTCCTCCCTGCCCCCACCCCCAGCTCCACCTTGGCTGCCCCCTTGCAGCAGCTGCCTCAGGAGTGGAGAGCCTGTCCAGAATACACCAAGTGGAAGGAGCATTCTCAAGAGTGCCTGTCCCACCCAGTCCAGTCTATTTTTAATCCAGTTAGCCTTCCCAAGAGAAGTGCAATGTCTGGCCTTGGAATTCCTTTTGCTCTTCATCCACTTGACTGGAAGGGGACTTGCGATGAAAGTGGCCGAGGCTCAGGGCTCGAGTGTATAGCCAACACTCCTGAAGCACCGCCCTTCTTTAAGACAGTCACCCAGTGGCCTTTCAGGCAACCAGGACAGCTGTCCCTCTCAAGGGAGGAAATCAGCAGAATACTAGAAAAGTCCCGCTTCCATCCTTGGGAGGCTATTTCTGATCTTTGCCACTGCCCATTCGTCTCCATTGGGATTAATGTGATGAGTGGTTCAGTCATTCAAGTCCTTCTATGAAAGTCTCTTTGACTTTGTCCCCAAAATCATAGAGATGGATCTTGACATTATTTCAGTTGGATTCACCCAAAAGCCACAGTAAATGCTAGGCAAAGAAGACACCCCTGGTCTACACTGTATCTCAAATTAGGCTCTCTCCTATCATCTAATCAAACTCATCCAACTGGGTAATAATCGTACATCACATAACATATAATTGTGGTTCCTTACAAATATTAGACAATAACTATTTGTTCAATGAATTAATGAATAAAACTCAATAAAATTGCTATAACCTCTAAAATTTAACACTACCCTCCCAATCCCCTTTGAACTGTGCTGTTGATCCATTTTCACCAACAGGATTAAGTTCTAACAAAATCTATCTGCTCTCCTTTGTTCTAAGATGTGTGCCAGAATATCTCCTATTCCTTGATTCCTTCACATTCTTTTTATCTCCAGCCGGCTGAGGTGTCACTGAGGTGAAGGCTGCTTGCTGAGAGGCAGAAGGGTTACTTCGTGAGGGTTCACACACTGGGACCCAGAGCTTCTTCAGCTTCACACAAGTTCCTGGAGCTTAGAGACAAAAAGAACAGGCCCTCGCCTATGAGTGTTATAAAAACCAAATCAAGAAACAAATATGAACGCTGTTGCAGTTTACAGCGTAATAATCACATTTTCAAGGAAAAGCATTGTTCTTGGAATATAATGTATCTTATGTTCTAAAAGCATCATTATTCTCCGCCAAATACCTGGTATTAGGGGAAAGAGGAGGTTACAGAGAATACAGAAAGGAGAAAAGAGAATGTTTCATCATGTCAGCCTCCACAGGTTGTCAACCAATTGATAGCAGCCATCTAGAATCCACCACCTGTGAACTTAAATGCAATTGGAGAAATTTTCCTTTAAAAGATTAATAAATATTCCTCAAAAAATTACAAATGGAACTGCCTTTTGATCCAGCAATCCCACTTCTGGAAATATAAACCTAAGAATCCCCAAAACGCCAATTCAAAAGAATATATGCACCCCTATATTCATAGCAGCATTACTTACAATAGCCAAGATCTGGAAACAGCCACAATGCCCATCAGTAGATGAGTGGATAAAAAAGCTGTGGTACATTTATATGCAATGGAATACTGTGCAGCTGTAAACAGGAAATCTTACCTTTTGCAACAGCATGGATGGGCCTGGAGATTATTATGCTAAACGAAATAAGCCAGTCAGAGAAAGACAAATACCATATGATCTCACTTATATGTGGAATGTAATGAACAAAATAAGCTGACAAACAAAATAGAAACAGCCCTGGCCAGGGTCTCAGTTGGTTGGGCACTGTCCTGTGCACAGAAGGGTTGCTGGTTCAATTCCTGGTCAGGGCATATGCCCCAGTTTCTCGCTCAATCCCCGGTGGGGGACGTATAGGAGGCATCCAATTAATGTTTCACTCCCCAATCGGTGTTTCTCTATCCCTCTCCCTTCCTCTCTTTCTAAAAATCAATAAAAATATTTTAAAAATACTCTAATTAAAAAAAATAGAAACAGAGGCATGGATACATGGAACAGACTGACAGCTGTCAGAAAAGAGGAAGTGCAGGAGACTGGATGAAAGAAGGTAAAGGATTAATCAAAGAACATATAGGCATAACCTGTATAGACACAGAAAACAGTGTGGCCAGAGGAAAGGGGGGCGGGGGGCTGGGTAGAGGTGAGCAAAGGGGGAGGGGAAATGGGGACATCTATAATAGTATCAATAATAAAAGTAAAGTAAAAAAAAAGATTAATGAACATATTCAGTAGAATCTCATCTTTCTTTAAAACAATACACAGTAAATACACATATATACATACACGTATAACATGAAATTGGGGAAAAGAGATCAACAAGTGGAAATAAATATATTAATGTTAAAATGGTTATTGCTTAATGGTAGGATAATGACAATTTTTGTTTGCTAGGTTTTAAATTTTTCCATGATGTAAATAAAAGTTTTCTTTTTATTTTATCAGAAGGGAGCTTCTAGAAATTGCTTTCTCTTTGGAATATGTGTCCATTCTTTTTCTATATCCCTGAACTCAGTGAGGAGCTTGTTTTGTGCCAAGGCTTACCACCTTACTTACTATCTAGATTCTATCGAATTTATCTCAAGCAAAGTGTCTGGAAAAATTATTCACACTCTACCACAGACAGTCCCAATCCCCACCCCTGAGGTCTGGGTTTCTCCTCTTGCTGGGATTCAAAGACTTTCTTACCTTTTGGTAGACTGGGCACCTGTCCCTGAGGTTGCTGCTTCTCTGAGGTTCGATCTCGGCTCCTGCTGTGCCCTGAGGGGTTTGTGAAGTGGGACTTCACAGGACCCTCCTTTTGGCCTTGGCTCTCCTCGTCACACTGCAGGGCTTTCTTCTTTTTGGACCCAACTGCAGGGTACCTGCCAGGTGGGTGGCTCACCCCAGTAGGCATCTGGGGGCCTGAGGGGCCTGACACGTAAAGCACACCTGTTGTGGAGACCATCTCTCTCTGGGAATCAGCACCCGACTGACGCTGCCTCATTTTGGCCAGCACCTGGCTCCGCTCCCCTACATTCAGAGGCTGCGTATTAATCCCGAGCTGTTGCGCTAGAGGCTTGGGTACGACCTGCTGACGCCGTTTCTCAGCCAGGAGCAGCTGCCGTCGCGCCGCTTCGCGCTGGTCCAGCGTCCATTGCAGGTCTTCCCGCGCCCGACGGCACTGCCAGACCAGCCAATCACGCTCGTTGATCCTCTGCTGCAGCTTGGACACCAGAGTGCTGGCGGCGCTCTCATGCTCCTCGATTTGCTCCTGCAGTCGCCAGACCCCGCGCGCGTAGTTATCGCGCTGCCTAGCGGCTGCACGAACACCCAAGGCCAAGGCGCTCCAGGCGAACGCCCTCTTGCTGTTGTCCGGCACCTGAGGGTTCACCACAATACTTCGAAGCTGGTCCTCTATCTCATACCAGGGCCTAGTGCTGAATGCTGAGTAAAAGTCCGGGCCGCCTCCATTTTGGAGCACCTCTTCGTTGATGAACCGGACTATCTCGCTGTAGCGGAAACCGCTCCGGGAGTCCCCCAAAGATACTGCCATGGCGGCCCAGTCAGCAAACGCCCCCGCCGCTGCTGTAGAAAGCCTTGGCCACTTACCAATTGGCCCCTCAGCCCCACTTTAGTCCTTCCTCAGTCCTGGCCGCCTCCTTGGCCTCTTTCCTTGTTCACCCACTTGTTCTGAGGAAGAGTGAGGCCAATCCTCTTACCACACGAACACCTACTGGGAATGACGGGATAGCGCCACACAGAGTTGAGCTCGGAAGGCGTGTCGCGCTAGCCACTGGCTTTCTTGGTACAAGGCCTCCTTCAGGACTAGCCCACTGGGACACTGCACCGGGACTTCAATGAGCCCAGAGAGAACGGAATTCTTGTTTCAGAGAGTTTCTGAGAGACAATACCCAGACGCACTGAATTTCTAACCTGGGAGTAGGATGAGTAGGTGCAAGGGGGACTCTGGTTCAGCTCCCTCTCCCATAACTCTCAGTTGCTGTGTCAAACTTTCTATATGGTCTCCAAGCTGTGTGCACTTTTCCCTCCTCATCTTAAACAGATGACCTTGGAGTTCCTCTCATTAAGAAAATCCAGCCCAGTGGTGTGGCTCAGTGGTTGAAGGTGAACCTATGAAACAGGAGGTCATAGTTTGATTTCCCGTCAGGGCACATGTCCAGATTGTGGGCTCGATCCCTAGTAGGGGGCATACTAGAGGCAGCCGATCAATGATTCTCTCTCATCATTGATGTTTCTATCTCTCCCTCTCCATTCCTTTCTGAAATCAATAAAAATATACTTTAAAAAAGAGAAACTCCAGAGATTTCTCAGTGGTTAGAGCAGTGGTTCTCAACCTGTGGGTCGAGACCCCTTTGGGGGTCAAATGACCCTTTCACAGGGGTTGCCTAAGACCATTGGAAAACACATATATAATTACATATATGTTTTTGTGATTAATCACTATGCTTTAATTATGTTCAACTTGTAACAATGAAAATACATCCTGCATATCAGATATTTATATTGCGATTCATAACAGTAGCAAAATTACAGTTATGAAGTAGCAACGAAAATAATTTTATGGTTGGGGGTCACCACAACATGAGGAACTGTATTAAAGGGTCGCAGCATTAGGAAGGTTGAGAACCACTGGGTTAGAGCATCAGCCTCTGCACAGAAAGGTCTCAAAAATATATTTTAAAAAAGAAAGTAGTCTACACTATGTCCACTTCATTGTGCTCCCTTCATCATTCAATCTGCTGCACTTTGTTTATTGCCCCCTACCAAATTTAGTAAAAATTCTCTGATAAGGTCACCAGCAGTCCCTACTCCAGTACAAAGCTAGTTGATACTTTGAAAGTTATTTTTCACATGATGTTTCAATAGTGTTTGATTCAGTTGACCATTTCATCCTTGACATTCCATCTTGTATTGGTTTCTGTGACACCACATTCTACTGATGTTCTTATTCCTCTGCCTTATCTTTCTCAGTTTCTTTGAACTACTTGTTCTTCTGCCCAAGGCCCCAAAGTTGGTGTTTCCCCAGTTTTGTTCTCAGCCCCCTTTCATTCTATATGCTTTTCTTGGATAAATGTATTCACTCCCATAATTCTAAATACTACCTCTATCACAACTGTGCTCTTACACATTACAGTCTCTGTCTTTTTAAATTTTTATTTTTTAATTATAATTTACATTCAGTATTATTTTGTATTAGTTTCAGGTGTACAGCATAATGATTAGACAATCATATACTTTACAAAATGTTCCCCCTGATATTTTCATTTCTCACTTGGCACCGTACGTAGTTATTATAATACTAGGGGCCCCCCAGTGCATGAATTTGTGCACCTTGAAAGGAACTGTGGGCCACGAGGCTGCGGTGGGCACAGGGGTGGGTCTCAGCTCATCCTCCACATCCCTGCCTGGCCCCTCCTGCCACGGTCCCCAGTCCCCTGTCTGCCAGCAGCTCCACTCCTGCCACTGCCACTCCCATATGCTGATGGTGCTGCTGGCCCCTTTTGCACCTGCTGACGGTGCAGAGTGATTGGGGCCGGCACCAGCAGCGGGTGCGAGCCGGGCTGGCGCCATCAGCTGGTGCAAGTAGCGGCTGCTGCCCCGATTGCCACTCAGATGCAGGGGGAGGTGGAGAAGCCTTCAGGGGTGATCAGGGCCAGCAGCCACCACTCACACCCACTGATGGCACCAAGTCATAGGGACTGGCACCGGGCACTGGCTGCAGGTGCGAGCAGTGGCTCCGGTGCCGGCTGTGGGTGCGAGCGGGGTCGTCACCGGCAGCGGGTGCAAGGGGTGGCTGCCAGCCCTAATCGTCCCTCAGGAGCAGGGGGAGGTGGAGAAGCCCTGAGTGGCGATCGAGGCTGGCAGCCACCACTCGCACCCACTGATGGCTCTGAGCAATTGGGGCCAGCACTGGGTGCCAGCAGCGGGTACAAACGGGGCCGGTGCTGGCAACAGGAGCAAGCACCGGGCGGGACCGGAGAGTGCGGGAGCAAGGAATTTTAAATAACCACCAGAGATTCACTTCGATGACAGTGACTGGTGCCCTACCTTGGTCTGGCACCCCCACTCACCTGCTCCACCATTCTGCCATGGCCAACGCCCACCATGTTCTGCATGCGCCGTCAGGTGGTCAGCGCATGCCATAGTGACCGGTTGTTCAGTTGTTTGGTTGTTCTGCTGTTCAGTCTATTTGCATACTAGGTTTTATATAGATAGATTGACTACATTTCCTATGCTGTACTTTATATTTTCACTTTCTTTTTCTTCTGTTTTTGTTTGTTTGCTTGTTGTTGTTAATTCTTTCCCAAAGATATTTTTCCATTGATATTTAGAGAGCGTGGAAAGGAGGGGGAGAGACAGAGAGAAACAACAATGTGAACGAGACACATCAATTGGTTGCCTTCTATATGCACCTCGACCAGGACCGGGGAACCTGCAACCAAGATATGTGCCCTTGACCAAAATTGAACCCAGGACCCCTCAGTCCACGGGCTGACACTCTATCCACTGAGCCAAAGCTAGGGCTACAGTGGTTGGCAAACTGCGGCTTTTTAAAAAAAATATTTTTATTGATTTCAGAAAAGAAAGGAGAAGGAGAGGAAGAGAGAGATAGAAATATCAATGATGAGAGAGAATCATTGATTGACTGCCTCCTGCACACCCTCTACTGGAGATCGAGCCTGCAACCCGGGCATGTGCTCTTGGCTGCAATCAAACCTGGGACCCCTTAGTCCACAGGCCGATGCTCTATCCACTGAGCCAAGCCAGCTAGGGCATATTTTCACTTTCTTGATGGTGTCCTTTGAAAGCACAAAAGTTTTCCATTTTGATGAAGTTAAATTTATCTATTTTTCTTTTTGTCACGTGTGCTTTTGATATTATATTTAAGAAACTGTTAATCCAAGGTCACAAAGATTCATGTCTATGTTTTTTTCTAAGAGTTTTATAGTTTTAGCTCTCACATTTAGGTTTTTTATCCATTTGGGTTAATTTTTGTATATGGTATAAAGTAGGAGTCCAAATTCTTTTCTTTCTTTCTTCCTTTTATTTATTTATTTATTTATTTATTTATTTATTTTGCATGTGGATAGCACCATTTCTTGAGGACAGTATTGTTTGACTATTGAATGGACAAAGCACCATTTTCAAAAATCAATTGGCCATATTTGTGTGGGTTTATTTCTGGACTCTCAATTTCATTTCATTAATCTATATGTCTACCCTTATGACAGTACCATACTGTTTTAATTACTCTAGCTTTGTAGTAAGTTTTGAAATTGGGATGCATGAGCCTTCTAAAATCAATTTGTTCTTCTTTTTCAAGACTATTTTGGCTTTTCTGGGTCCCTTGTATTCCTATATGAATTTTAGGATCACCTTGTCAATTTCTGAAAAAAAGAGGAAGTTGGGATTTTGAAAGGATTGTATTGACCCCATAGCCACAGAGCAGACTATGAATGAAGATAAAATTTCCCAATCACTGGATTTGGTTCAGTAGATGTTTCCAGCACTGTACCAGGTTCCAAGGAGTCTACCCACAGAACCTCCACTTAGCGACTGTGTTAGATATCTTCTGTTTGCCCCTCCAAATGTACTCTCTACCCTTCTCCACTCTCTTCCTTGGGAGGCTGATCTATATGGACATCAATGAGCTTCCTTGCCCTCTGGCTTTTGGTTGGGTTTGGCAAATTTACCATCAGAGGTGATCAGAGGGAGGCAGAAAATTAAGTAGGGTACTTATTTTTTTTTTGTTTTCCTCACTACAAGCCCACCTTGAGCTACTTTAGCTCTTCAACAAGTCACCACTTCTCCCACGGTAGTCAATTGTACTCGACTCAGTCCTTCCAAGCTCTGGGAGCCACTAGCCTTGGTTACTGTGCTATCCTCTGTGGTTCTCTACATCTACACACTTATAAGTAACCTCTTTATCAATAACCCCCTTTCCAAATATTCCATTTTGTCAAGTGTACTATTTCTTGTAGGAATCCTGATTGGTATTATGCCCATACAGGAGCCTGCAAGGAAATACATTCTGAAGATTCAGCTGCTAGACTGAGAGCCTATTATATCCTTCTTAAATGTTTTGGATACTGCTATCAGCTTTTCTTCCCTCCTACCCTGAAACTAAATAACTTTGTGAAGTAGGGAGGGCTATTCAGCCTTTCAGCACCTTTTCCCTTGCCCTGTACCTCCATCCATCCTATTCCTCCCCCACCTCTCAACACACACACACACACACACACACACACACACACACACACACCTCTATTTTAAGCTTGGATAAAATCATAATGTAAATCACATTTTTTAATTATTTGATGAAATTACTTTATCATGTTTGGATATTTTAAAAGGAAGTCAGTAAGGAAAATTACTCTAACAAAGAACCTATATGGGAGAAATATATCGGGGTCATGGACCTCTCCCCAATGCAACTATATCAGCCATGTTGACCTTAGGCCAGGGAAGCTTCCAAGGAAAGAAGAGATTCCTACTGCATCCTAGTCTCTGAATCAAATAAGGGAGTGGAAT